ATTGAAGAAGAATATCACTCCTATCCGTGAAAAATGCTCTGTATGCTGTGAGTTCCCCAAACCTCCAGCATCATTCACATCTGAAGCATGACAGTGGTGCTAGTAGAGGGAAAGGAACCCCCCAATCATTTTAAAAGCCGCCATTTTTTTTGCCAATGTTTACAGAAACTGCTGTCGTATATGAACTATTCACTGTATTAACAAATTTCAGTGGCATACTTGTCCTCGAAGTCCCATGGAAGCTCTCTCCTCGTTGGCTCACTGGCTGTGATTGACAGCAGTGAGAGCCAAAGGCAACTATGATATAACAGAAATTTATCATGGGGCTCCCATGCACTTGGGGCCCCTGGGGAGTGCCCAGGGATACCCATTTATAAAGATGTCCCTGGGTAAGTATAATGGGGGCTCAATGCAATGCATTACAGTAAAACACCTAAAGTCTTTAGAACCACTTTAATGTCAGATGGACACAGCTAACCATTTATGCTGGGTGTCCGGTTTAGGAAATGTCCAAAATTGCATAATAACATCACTTCCAGTTTTGTAAACTGAAATGAGTTATTCTCCAGCTGCTCATAGACTGTAGAGCAGCGGTTCTCAACCTGGGGGTCGAACGACCATTTCCCAGGGGTCGCCTAAGACCATCGGAAAACATATTTCCGATGGTCTTAGGAACCGAGACACCGCTGCTGTCTCCGGCGATGTGTGGGCGGGATGATATGCTGCCCCTGTTACCGCCTCCTCGCCGCTGATTGGCCACCGGAACTGTAGCTCAGGAGAGGCACACAGGCGGCCAATCACCGGCGAGAAGGTGGAGCTTGGAGAGGAGGAGCCGAGCGGCAGCGCGCGGAGATCGAAGAAGATTGAGGGAGCTGCAGGAACGAGTGAAGAGAGGCCAGAGAAGGAAGACAGCTGACAGGTAAGTGCAAATTTTGCTGCTGCAGCCAGGTATACAGGCTGTAGATGGGAGAGGGAGAGAGCGAGCCCAGGCTGGAGCAGGAGTCAGCAAGGTAAGTATCATTGGTGTCAGTGGAAGGGATAGTGCCCCATCATTTGTGTCACTAATACCAACGATGGGGCACAATTCCTCCCCCCACTGACACCAACGATGGTGCACTATTCCTCCCACTGACACCAACGATGGGGCACTATTCCTCCCCCCACTGACGCCAACGATGGGGCACTATTCCTCCCCCCACTGACGCCAACGATGGGGCACTATTCCTCCCCCCACTGACGCCAACGATGGGGCACTATTCCTCCCCCCACTGACGCCAACGATGGGGCACTATTCCTCCCCCCACTGACGCCAACGATGGGGCACTATTCCTCCCCCCACTGACGCCAACGATGGGGCACTATTCCTCCCCCCACTGACGCCAACGATGGGGCACTATTCCTCCCCCCACTGACGCCAACAATGGGACACTATTCATCCCACTGACATCAGTGATGGGGCGCTAGTCCTCCCACTGCAAAATTACAGTTATGAAGTAGCAACGAAAATAATTTTATGGTTGGGGGTCACCACAACATGAGGAACTGTATTAAGGGGTCGCGGCATTAGAAAGGTTGAGAACCACTGCTGTAGAGGGTAGTCAGTCTAGCCACTCAGCTGTCCCTATGCTCTTTGGGCAGCCTAACCTACATGATCTGTCTGTCTCACGGTGGAGGGGTGTGTCTCTGCTGAGCAAGCCATTCTGAAAAGCAAACAGCATAGGGCACCAACTAAGTGCAGTACATAGGAAAAGACTTTCATAAACAAAAGTGACAACTCACAGCTCCTGACATCTGCTTCTTGGCACCTGAAGACACACTGAGGCTCAACAGCAAACCGCACTGGGCTGATGACATGCTCTTGTCCCTATGCATCTTCTGAGTTGCCACTTGTGACTTTTTAATAATGTCTTTTCCCATATACCATATACTGCACTTAGTTGGCACCCTCTACTGATTTCTTATGTTTTTCTACATAATATATTTCTATATGTTGCAGAGATGACTTTATCTCATTGTGGAGCTGCCATGGATATCTTCGGAACTATTGACTTTTTAATATAATCCTACACCCTAGCACATTCACGTGTATGATTATGTTGTAGATTACTTGTACCATTCTTGATAATTCCTTATAAGTAATTCTGAAGTGTGTGTGATCTGATCTCCCTGCTGTTCTGATCAGCAGTAACTGGTTTATGTGCCTGAAGAAAGCTAGTGTTCTGATTTGAGATCCATCACTTGCTGGCAGCATTGTAATAGCCATCTCTATTTACCTGTTTTAAAAGAAATAAAGAAAAAAATAAATGTGACTTTTATTCGTTTGGAGCATACATGTACATGAAGAAAATAAAGAAAATACACGATAAACTACTATACTTTATTTAGACCTGGAAATTGATGCAAATAAAACCATTTTCTTATCGTGAATTCCTCTTCAACAGGCACCTGAAACACAATTGCAGAGTTTTGCGATGAATGTAGTCAATGCCGATGCAAGGTCCTTTAAACACCCAATGTGAAAAGGGTAAAGTGTGTCCCCCCCATTAGCTGTGAGCTACGGCTGTTCCTTAGGTTGCAGGTACTGTCCTTTTTGCAACCCCAACTTGCTAAAGTACCTAAGGAGGCCGAATCTTCTGCCTATCCCTTGGCCTGGCCCTGAATGTTACAATTATATTTATAATAATGTTACATAGTTAGTCTGGCTGAAAAAAGACAAAAGTCCATCCAGTTCAACCATAAAAAAAAAGTTATAATCCTACACCCACAGTTGATCCAGAAGAAGGCAAAAACCCCAGCAAAGCACGATCCAATTTGCTCCTGCAGGGAAAAAAATTCCTTCCTGATCTCACATATATAAGACCCAGATGACAATAAAAAAACTGAAAGGTGTTCTAATCCTTCACCATTACATGCAAAAACTGGAAAAAATGTTCTATAGAGTCACGCTTTAATTTGTGAACTGTTGCCTTTCCAAGTGTTGTTCGTCTGGAGATGAATTCCCTTTAAATTATGTGTCAAGGCAAAATAAAAAAAAATATATGCAGTACATCTCTGCAATACACCTACACCTCCCATGTTTTATCTTTCTAAAGACCCTGCAAGTACAGAAAAATAACAGTTGATGTGCAAACAAAATGCATTCATCTCCCCCATCCTACTGTATGCTTATGACACACAGCATTTGTGAGCACTGAGTGGTGTCAGCCCTGCACAGCTGTCTTTTGCTAAAGCAGTCAGACGACGCACCTATTCTCCTTATTTCTACAATACAGACACCAAGCATTCTGTAAATCAAGCCAAGAACTAGAAGGGCTAATTAGACTCCTTGAGATAGCACACAAAACATAGACAGGACCAGGGGCGGACTGATAACTCATGGGGCCCCGGGCAATAGGGGATCATGGGGCCCCTGTGTCCTTGCCCAAACTCAAAAAAGCCTATGAAAAAGGTACCAGGGGCATCTCATGTGGCCCCCTCCTGCCCCAGGGCCCTCGGGCAGTGCCCGAGTTTCCAAATGGTCAGTCAGCCCCTGTACAGGACACAGAACAGCTCTGCATTTCAAACATGACCAACAGGCATTTTGTTGCACTTATCAAACAAATATAACAAAACACTTTAATTGTTATATTTAACAGACCAAAAGGTTGAAAATATGAGATGTTCATTGTTACGTTTTACATATACTTTAATGATAAAGAAATGTTGTATCAGTTCCAGTATCTCCCTCATTATCGTACTTCATCAATCAATCTGCAAGTAAAAGGGTTTGTTTGCCAGAGAATAGATCTCAGAATCTGCTGGCTCAATCAGCAGAATCCAAAGGATGCCTGAGTCATTGGGATGTATTGAGTCAGTTATGAAAAGCCATATTATTCAATGGCTATTTACAGGGGTTTACAATAAATGTGAATCCTCGCCCCATAAAACAACCCATTCAGTTTAAAATAGAAATATTGTACATGGCAAAACATTCTAAATAGTTTTTTTTTTTCATTTTTTTTCTTTGTAAGTGATCTCTGTTCTCAGCTGCATAAGGGGCTTGGAGAGGTGGGGATGGAGAAACAGCAGCACACTGATCTTCTCACTGAATGGTTGTGCTGGGGGGGGGGGGGGGGTGTCTGCACAAGTCTGATCATTGGAAGACAGGCAGGCTGTGCTCCCAGCACAACCAGAAAACTATCCACGCTGAGAGGGATGTACTCTCATGCCTAGTGTAGTCAGTTTGACATAGGAAAGCATGGGGACTGGCAGGAATACCAGGGATTTGACACAATGGAAGCAATACAACGAGAACAGGATACTTTATCATACAAGTATATGGTACCCCAGGCACATATCAGGAGTATGAAATGTTGGGGTAACATACTCATTTATATCCCATATATCCATGTATGTTAGGCCCTACGTCAGTTGATCTAACATACATTCCATGACAAATTAAAAAGGGGTGATTCTTGTATAGTATTTTGTGTTTGCAGTGTTGGTCACTCCATACAATAACTACATCAAAAATGATTTTTTTTTTTTTTTTTTTGTAGATCAACACATGAAAATGACACAGACACAAATTAATTACAAAAATAGAAAATGTGTTTATTTTACAAAATTCCCTTTCAATATAGTCAAATATTCAGGGGTCCCGGTTATTCCCTTACGTTTAAAACACCACATATACAGTATAAACCCGTCATCACCCTGCGTGGTTGTAATGTCAGTGGAATTGGACACCCCAAATGTCAATGGGTTCCTGGCTCTTGTCTACTTCTTCAGGACAGAAGTATTCTATTTTTCACCATTTCACATTCAGGGTGCATATTTGTACACAAGTTTTCAAAAAGAGGATCTGAAAAATTACATATAAATATAATCACATCATCAAATAATATAAAATACACATAGAAAATTATTCCACACACATTATTAAACACAGATTGCCATGACTATCATCACTATTGTTCTCTGGTATCCAGTGCATATGCCCATAATATCTCTCCAAAGAGAATGATTTGATATCTGTAATTGTATGCTATTTGATGAAGTGGCCAGACCGAGGTCCTAATCTCATGTCGCAATCAGGGGCGGACTGACAACTCATGGGGCCCCCGGGCAATAGGGGATCATGGGGCCCCTGTGTCCTTGCCCAAACGCAAAAAAGCCTATGAAAAAAGGTACCAGGGGCATCTCATGGGGCCCCCTACTGACCTCGGGCCCTCGGGCAGTGCCCGAGTTTCCAAATGGTCAGTCCACCCCTGGTCACAATTTACATGAGCAGTTATATGGGAAAAATGGTTGTGCTACCCATTGATATGTACAGGGATGGCAGATGCAGGTCCCTGCCGTAGAAACTCATCACCCATTAGAATGAGCCCTTAAAGTGGTTTTAAAGGCAGAAGTGTTTTTACCTTAACCCCTTGCCCTCCAGAGGATTTACCCCCCTTCCTGACCAGGCCATTTTTTGCATAACTTTAACTGAAATTGCGCAGTCGTGCAATCCTGCACCCAAATGAAATTTACGTCCTTTTTTTCCCACAAAGAGAGCTTTCTTTCAGTGGTATTTGATCGCCGGTGCGGTTTTAATTTTTTTGCGTTATAAGCAAAAAAAGACCAACAATTTTGAGAAAAAAAACAATATTTTGGACCTTTTGTTATTAAACATGTCCAGTAAAAAAATTTAAAAAATCAAATTTCGTCATAAATTTAGGACAAAATGTATTCTGCTACGTCTTTGCTAAAAAAAAAAAATCCCAATACGTGTAAATTAACTGGTTTACGTGAAAGTTATAGCGTTTACAAATGGCGGTATTGATAATGGGATTTTTTTTTTCTACTAGTAATGACGGCGATCAGCGACTTTTAGTGGGACTGCGCGACTGCAGCAGACATTCTGATACTGGGGAGAACTAACTTAGTGTCACTGACACCCCAGTGACATCAATACCGTGATCAGTGCTAAAAAAGCACTGACACCATACTAATGGCACTGAGCAGGAAGGAGTTAATGTGAGGGGCAATCAGGGGTTAACTGTGTGCTGGGAGTATTTTACTAGGGGGTGGGGGGGGGTGTTCTTCACTGTAAGCACACTGATCAGGATAGCTGTACTGTGCACAGCCATCCAGAGCAGTGTGCTCGAGCTGACAGGGAGGAACATTGTTTGTAAACAAAACAATCTTCCCCTCCATGAGATGCTCAGTAATCACCAGGCGCTGGCGGGTAATTATCGTCCGGGACCCGGTGATTGACATTTGCGGCAGCGAATGTTGAAGCAGAAATGCAAAATCATGTTTATATATGTGATTTTGCACACAGGTGTCACCCTCTAGCAGTATATCTGCTATAGGGCGGTCTTTAAGCGGTAAATGGCATTCTCTCCCTTTAGCCCCCCATACTTACTTGAGCCTGATCTCAGTCCAGGGCTGCGCACAAGAGCAGCAGCTTTCTCTGCTCTCTCCCTCCTCAACGGACAGAGAGGCAGCAGCAGAAGCCAGATGCCTCAAAGAGCAACGTCAAAAAAGTCCCTGTGTGCATGGGGCCTAAAACAGGCGATGTAATGCCTCCTCACCACCTGAACGTAGATCGCTCTTCAGAGGAGCGGTGGAATTAGATGCATATTAACTAGTTGCCAATCGCAGATAGCCGAATGACGGTTACACTGCGGCCGGCCAGTTCTGAGTGGACGTCATATGACGTCCTCCCAGAACGTGCTCTCCTGCGCGGCCCAGGGGGCGCGCACCCGGCGATCTCCGTGATCGCTGTGTCCTACAGACACAGCTGATCACGTGATGTGGTAAAAGGCCAATCACAGCGGCCTTTTACCACGTGATCAGCGGTGTCCAATGACACGCTGATCAGAGGGAAATGCAAGTGCCGGTTCTCGGCTGCACTTTCCTCATGCTGTCAGATCGTGAGGAAAGTACTGCCGAGAACCGGCAGTTGTCAGAGCAGGGATCGGCACCGATCATCAGGGCACTGATGATCGGTGCCCAGCAGTGCCACTCGCAAGTTCCGCCCACCTGTGCCCAGCAGTGCGCCCACTAGCTCCGCCCACCTGTGCCCAGCAGTGCACCCACCTGTGCCACTCTGCAGTGCCACCTACCTGTGCCCAGAAGTGCCACCTACCTGTGCCCAGCAGTGCCACCCACCTGTGCCCACCCACCTGTGCCCACCAGTGCCACCCACCTGTGCCCACCCACCAGTGCTGCCCACCAGTGCAGCCCAGCAGTGCTGCCAGTCAGTGTCGCCAGTCAGTGCCCAGGGGTTGTGCCAGTCAGTGCTGCCAGTCAGTGCCCAGCAGTGATGCCAGTCAGTGCCGTCTATCAGTACCCATCATCAGTGTCACCTATCAGTGCCGCCTATCAGTGCTGCATATTAGTGCCGCCTATCCGTGACACCTCATTAGTGCTGTCTATCAGTGCCGCCTATCCGTGCCACCTCATTAGTACTGCCTATCAGTGCCCTTTAGTGCTGCCTATCAGTGCCCATCAGTGCTGCCTATCAGTGCCCATCAGTGCTGCCTATCAGTGCCTACCAGTGCAGCCTCATCAACGCACATCAGTGAAGGAGAAAAAATACCTGTTTGAAAAATTTTTTAATAGAAACAAAGAAACTTTTTTTTTTTTTCAAATTTTTTGCACATTTTTTATTTATAGCGCAAAAAGTAAAGCGCCCAGTGGCGATTAAATACCACCAAAAGAAAGCTCTATTTGTGAGAAAAAAATGATCAAAATTTCATATGGGTACAATGTTGCATGACCGCGCAATTGTCAATCAAAGTGCGGCAGCGCTGAAAGCTGAAAATTGGCCTGGTAAATAAGGGGGTATAAGTGCCTGGTAGGCAAGTGGTTAAGGCTCCGTTCACACCTATGCAGTTTGTTTTTTTGCAATGCTTTTCGTAGTTTGTTTTGTGCTTTTCTATGCGTGCTTTTGCCGCGATTTGTGTTTTGTTCATCTCTTTTTGTTTAAAGCGGAGATTTTTTTGCTGGGCAGAATAAAAATGCAAAACGTGTCAAAATCGCAGCAAAAACACACTACCGTGCATTTCAGCAGATTCTCCATTGAACTCTATTGTAGCAAAAATGCTGCTTTTTGCTTTTAAAAAAGTCCCTGACTCTTTCCAAAAACACAGCAGCTCAAAAAAGCCTTGATGTGAACATGTTCCATAGGAAACCATGTTAAATGGACTGTAGTGCGTTTCTGCAAAAAGCACTAAAAAACACATTGGTGTGAATGGAGCCTTAAATCTATTCGAAATCTAGGTTCACACCTATGCAGGTTACGTTTGATACGTTTCTGCATTGCGTTCTGTGTTGCATTTTGCATTTTTGCTGCGTTTTTATGCGTTTTGCGGGGTTTTTTTTTTTTAATTTTTGTACTTTTTCTTGTTGCTAGGCAGATTTTAGATGCAAAACGCAGCAAAAACACAGCAAAAACGCAATACATGCTTTTCTACAGCATTCCCGTTGAAGTCTATAGAACCAAAAACGCAACCTTTTGTGTTCAAAAAAGTTCCTGACCCTTTCCAAAAAATGCACCGGGTGAAAACGCAGAGATGTGCACCTGTCCCATAGGAAAACATGTTAAATGGACTGTACTGCATTTCTACAAAACGCAAAATGCTGCAGAAAATGCTTAGGTGTGAAGTTAGGGTTACAGATGAAACCTAAAAAAAAAAAAAAAAGAAACAACTGAAGCACAGAAATTGCAGCCAATCATACTGTAATTCTTGTGTGGTGTTTACATAAGCCCTGATACACACCAATGCGACCCCAAAGACCCAAGGTCCACCTATGCTGTGCGACGTCATTGCGACTTGCTGGCATTCAGTGCAACCTCAATAATACAAGTCACACAAAAATAGTGCTTTTTTGGAGTCGCTGCAACTTGATTTGCAGCAATTAGAATGGGGCCATTGAAAGACGTGGGATGCGACTTCGAACTGGCAAGTCACATGACAGGTTACACTGGTGTGAACCGGGGATGAAATGACAAATCTTCTTTTGTTCTCATCTTCCTATCTCCAGTTTATGTGAATTTAAAGATATCATTTCATTAACATAGTAAAGCACAAAAGATACATGTCAAAGTAAAAAAAAAAAAAAATTAAACCACTACAAACATTTGAAATAGCTGGCATAAAAAAAGGAAATATTGTAATACAGCTATCACCTTTTGTAGCACCTCCCCCTTCCTTTAGATTGTAAGCTCCATGAGCAAGGCCCTCCTATTCCTTCTGTACTGAAGTGTATTGTAATTGTACTGTCTTCCTTATATTGTAAAGCGCTGCGCAAACTGTTGGCGCCATAAATCCTGTATAATAATAATAATAATAATAACAATAATAATAATTTAGTCTGAGTTTTCCTTGTAGCATGTCCGCGCTGCCATCTAGCGGTGACTCTGGTGTATGTCACCTGTATGAGTCACTTTGAAATGCAAATACTTCCCTATGCAAGATTTTTACATGACACATGACAACTCACCATGCACTTGTTAATGTGTTGGGGTGCCATTCAGATTTAATGGAATTGTAGTGAACTACTGTAACACACCTCCAACCCACATGTTGCAATGCACTAAAATGCACAGTAACGCATCATGCGTTGTGGTGCGTTGGATTGAAAAAAGCTGCGTGTTTGATTATATGTTCAGAATGCAAGTACACAATCCAAACGCACACGTTCCTGTGTTAAAAATGGCTGTGTGTATAAATGGGTGCTACAGCAACTGTCGGCTGGAACCGAACAGAATCAGCAAGGGAGAATGCCACCAGCACACGGAAGATCACCAATATGGGTCCAAAAAGGTTTTAATGAACGATCACATAGTTACAGCAAGACAACGTTTCGGAGTCTAGCAGGACTCCTTCATCAAGCATGTCACATGCGTCGGCAGCCAATTCATTTCAACACACAGGTCTGAAGGGACCCACTTCAGGCACTCAACAAAAAAATACCCTTGCATCAGGCCCTTTTCCCCCGCACTGCAAAGACTAAATGCTTGTTTAACCTCTTTCCGCAAATGCCTTGACGCCGCACATTTGCGTGCAATTAAGAAAAACATATGTGCTGAGAGCGCGCACCCTGTGCGCTCCCAGCACACGTCTGGTACTCACAGAAAGGTCCCGATCTACTCTTTCGATCGGGACCTTTCCCAATCATGTGACCGCCGTGACAGCAAATCACGGTGGTCACATGACCCTAAAACCCCACCCCGACGTCTGAAACTCTTAAAGGGCCGGGAGGCACTGGCGCCAAGGG